GTATAAGCCTTGCTTAGAAAGGTTGGTTACCCTTTGAGCCAGCAATTTCACCCTTTGGAATTTATCTCAAGAAAATAACTAGAGATATAAATAATGATTACTGTACAAGGCAGTTTATCATAGCAGTATTTATAAGAGTAAAATTTTTTAAACTGTAAAGGATCCCAGAAGGAGGACTCCTAACTGCTGGGGGTAGTAGAGACAGAGAATAAGGTGGTGAGATGAGGTTCTAGTTATGTCCTAAAGGATTAAGGAGAGTTTGTCTGGACAAAGAGGGGGATGGCATGGAGAGGACAGGCATTCCCTGGGGTCAGGACAGAGACAAGCTTATTTATGTTTTAACCCAGACATTGGGGAGTCAGCTTGGCTAGAGAGCACAAGCCACAGACCAGAACCAGAAGAGTCGATTAGTGCAGTTCAGCCCCCCAAATAATAGATGGGAATGGGGTAAGCTAGATACAGTGCTTCTCAGACTTTACAAAGCACACATATGCCCAAGAATCTTATTAAAATGCAGGTATTGGGGCGCCTGAGTGGCTCAGTCGTTAAGCGTCTGCCTTCGGCTCAGGTCATGATCCCAGGGTCCTGGGATCGAGCCCCGCATCTGGCTCCCTGCTCGGCGGGAAGCCTGCTTCTCCCTCTCCCACTCCCTCTGCTTGTGTTCCCTCTTTCACTGTGTCTCTCTCTGTCAAATAAATAAATAAAATCTTTAAAAAATAAGATAAAATAAAATAAAATGCAGGTATTGATTGGGTAGGTCTGGGGTGGGGCCCAACATTCTGCATTTCTAACTAGCTCCCAAGTGATGCTGATGCTGCTGGTCTTCAACCACACTTTGGGTGGCAAGGGGCTGGAATTAATACAAAGGAGCCATTCCCCCTGACCTCCTATTCCCAGAAAGGGTCTCCCAGCTAATGGTAAACCAGAGCATGATGTTTTCCAGGGGAAAAACAAAACAAAAAACTTAACAGCTGTGACACCAGTGACAAGATTCTGTGTAAAGTGACTCGGGAATAGGAACTGTGCCCAGGATAGCTCAACCTGAGGTTCAGTGGTCAAGGGTCAGGGCCACTGGACATCCCGAGAATCTTAGAGATTCTCTAACCTAATAAGAGCTTCGCCAACCCTCTTCCCAAGGAACAAGGTTAGAAACCCTCAGTCAGAGGCAATCAGCACATGCCTAATTTGATTCCTCAAACATGTGATAAGCACCTCTCAGGCCAGACCCTGGGAATACAAAGAACTCTCAGTGCAAAATTGAAGAGCTGACTCAGAATGGAAATGTCCTCCAAACAAGGGGACTGAGACACGATTTAGGGCTTTGGGGGCTGTGACAAAATAAGGCGAGAGCCATGCCTAAAGCCAAGAGCTTGGTTCAGTAGGGGATGTTCTCAGGAAAGCCACAGTCAATAAAGTAATTCAGCCAGAGCTGTAAGTTTTGGGAAGGGCAACACATGTGTTATAGGGGTGTGTAATGACAGTGGAGAGAAAATGAACTAAAAATGGCTGAAAACGATACAGTGTTTCACATTATTTCCAAGTGCTTTTATTTAACAATGAGAGAATTTTTAACAGCTCCATACCTTCCTCCTTCAGTAACCACAAAATAATCCAGAAGGCCAAGTCTGGACCTGATTCCCTTTTCTCGAAAAGCTAACCTTTGAGGGTCCCCTGGCTGGCTCAGTCAGTACAGCACAGGACTCTTGATCTCAGGGTCATGAGTTCAAGCCCCACGTTGGGGGTAGAGTTTACTTAATAATAATAAAAAGCTAAGCTTTGAGTCAGATACGGGTCCAGATACCAAGTTCCCTTCATCTTTTCTCTAATTCATGTAACGTGTGGCAAAAACCTAAAGTATATTTATTTAAGAATATGTGGTGCAGGGGCGGTGGGGGGATGGGTTAGCCTGGTGATGGGTATTAAAGAGGGCACGTTCTGCATGGCGTACTGGGTGTTATGCACAAACAATGAATCATGGAACACTACATCAAAAACTAATGATGTAATGTATGGTGATTAACATAACAATAAAAAAATTTAAAGAAAAAAAAGAATATGTGGTGCATGCCCCCAGCAGACATTGTGCCAGGCCCTGCCTGGTGAGCGGCCTTCTCCAGGGAAACTGCTTGTTAAAACCATGCCTACACACAGCCAAGAAGCTGTTCAGCCTGGGCTAGCTTCCCTTACAATGGTGCCCAATAAGGAATATGGTGCCAGAACAGGATGGGAAGAACCTGTCCATGTTTCTCCAGTGGCCCCTGGGAGAAAGGGTGCCCTGGCTAGAACTGGCACAATAAGCCCCATGCCTGGACAGTCTGTCCCTATAAAGGAGTGGCTATTTGGGGTTACCTGAATCGCCAATGCTCTCTTAGAGGTTATAGGTGTGAGAGGAAGGAAGAAAGTGCCTTCAGCTGAGAGCACTCATACCTATTGGGGGATGTGGAATAGGGGGGCACTTTTACTTTATCGGTACCATTTGTATTTTTTATCACAAAAATATATCCAACCATTGTTTGCATAATTAAAATAAATTTTTAAAAAGGATGAACACATCAAAACAATTCCAAAGCTCCCTTTGCTTTTATCCCATATTCGTCAAACCTGATTGTTTGCCAAGAAGACCTTCCAGCAGGAAAGGAACACATTGAGCATTCTAGTCCATTTGGATGTTTCTTGGTAAAAATTAATAAGGTGCATTGTGGGGCACCATCTCTGGTGAGTTTGGTCCTGCTGACCCTAATCTCTCCTCCTCTGTCTACCCCTCCTGAAACAGATCCCTCTCCTCACCCTGCCACCCCAGGGGTCTTTCAGAAATGCATCCTGGGGGTGCCTGGGTGGCTCAGTCAGCTAAGCATCTGCCTTCAAGTCAGGTCATGATCTCGGGGTCCTAAAATAGAGCCCTGCATCGGGCTCCCTGCTCAGCAGAGAGTCTGCTTCTCCCTCTCCCTCTGCCCACCCCCCACTTGTGCGCTTTCTCTCTCTCTAATAAATAGTCTTTTTTTAAAAATGCATTCTGGATCTCACCAGTGCCCTCCTCTGCCCAAGGGTAAAATCAACACATCTTGGCAAAACATGCCCAGCTCTGTGTGCTCTGGTCCACCTCATCTCTTCCTGTTCCCCTTGTTAGCCACACTAAAGCACAGACTTGTCTTTCTTGATGAGCTCCTGGCTTTCTGCCCATCCTGCTACTCCTCCTGGAATACCCCTTTCCTGCTCTCTGCGCCTCAAAAATCCTCCATGTCCCTAGGGACTCAGCATGGCATCAGCCACGGCCCCTGACCCCAGTCCACTGCCAAGGACTGGGATTCTGGCTCTGGGTTTCCATGTTGTATATACAGGCTTACCCCATAATACAGCTGAACACACTGTTAATCTCTCCTTGGGTCTTTAATTCTATACCCTTAGCACCTGGCCCACAGCAGACACTCCATAATCTTCTGACAAAACTGAAGGATGTTTCATCTCCAAAGCTCTGATATCACAAACTCACAAAACTGAATATCTGAATTTTCAGAACAAACCATGGGGGAAGTCAGTTGGCTCATCTTTCTCCAACCCCCGCTCCCTGCACCCTGAAATGCCTATGCCCTGTGGTCAAGGCCTGAGGTACCCTCAACACATCCCTGGCCTGAGCTGCAATGGACCAGGTAAGGGTCAGGAGGCTGGGCCTTTGTCCCTAGACCTCTTGAGAATGATAACAAAGAGGGAATCCAACCCTGACCACCTCATCAGAGAGAATTCTAAACATCTGTTGATTCTAAACATCTCCCTTAATCTGTTAACATGATTCATAACATTCATTGATTTTTTTTTTAATGTTTAACTAATTTTGATTCCTGGGATAAATCCACCCTGTTAATGGGGAATTATTCTTTTTATACATTGCTAGATTCAGGATCCTAATATTTTATGGAGGATTTCTACATTTATACTCATGAGTGACACTAGCCTATAATTTTCTTTTCTTGTGTTATCCTTATCAGATTTAGATCAAGCTTACATTAGCCTCTTGTTCAATACTCTGGAAGAATTTTACACAAGGTAAAACTGGAAGCGCGTATTCCCCTGGTGTGTTTGGTAGAATTTGCCAAGGAAACCAGGTAGGTCTGGAGTTTTCTTTGAGGGAAAATCTTTGACTACTCATTCAATGCCTTTAATGATTACAGGGTATTTTGATTTTCTATTTCTTTTTTTTTTTAAGATTTTATTTATTTATTTGAGAGAGGGAATGAGATAGAGAGAGCATGAGAGGGGGGAGGGTCAGAGGGAGAAGCAGACTCCCTGCTGAGCAGGGAGCCCGATGCGGGACTCGATCCCGGGACTCCAGGATCAGGACCTGAGCCGAAGGCAGTCGCTTAACCAACTGAGCCACCCAGACACCCATTGATTTTCTATTTCTTATAGAATCAATTTTGGTAAATTATATTTGTCTAGGTAATTCCAAATATTTGAATTACAAAGACAGCTGATATCTGGAATGCTGACCCTGAGGTGAACGCTGTAAGAAATTAAGTGCCTTGTGAATCATGGGAGAAGTAACAGCTGACAGGCGGACTTGTATGTTACAATTTATACAAGTACTGCCCATATATCATTTGAAGATCAAGGTCTGGGTGGCTTTGGTGATTTTTGGTGTCTGATTACTTGCAAAGGGATGAATAACTTCTTATTTAGCAGAAGCATCTGATTCAGATCAACCCCTACCCCCTACTGCTTGCTGGCCATGCTAAGAAATTTTGTGGAGGCCTACGCACCTATTGAATTCTCACTTCACTCCTGGGAGTCACTTGTCACTAACATGAGGAAGCAGCGACCAAAAGCCTTGGGAGTGTCGATATTAGGGTGCGGGTGAGTGTTGTGAGTTCATGGAAACCTTCCCTAAGGCCAGGCTGGGAACGTTAAGTCTGGGGGCTGGCGTGTCTTACCACTACGGGTCCACCAGCCACGTGGCCTGGGACGCGGAGGACAGCGCAGGAAGGGGTGGAGGGACGCACACTCACCAGGGCCTCAAAGTCCTTGCAGTCGTGGCGGGCATAGGACGCGGGGAAGGGCCGCAGCACCGAGTCGCGCTTGTAGCTGTGTAGCGCCGAGGCGAAGAAGCTGCACCGGAGGTCGGCGGCCAGCACGTCGCGGCCCGCCGCCTCCCTGACGGCCGCCCAGCCCGCGGGCTGCATCCCGGGTGGCTGCGGCGCGTTGCCGGGGGAGACGCGCCTGGCAGGGGCTAGGGCCGAGCCTGCGGTCAGCGCGGAGCTGGGCCCAGGGACAATGGGCCAAAGGGACCCGGGTTCCCAGGCCCGGGGTGGAGCTAGGCAGAGGGATGAGATGACAGGGGTGAGAATGTGCTGACGGGCGTCTTCGGCTGGGGGCCGGGCCTGGGCCCTCGCTGTCCGGGAAGACCGGCCGGTTGTGAAGAAGGGACCCGGCCGGGACCTCGGGTCAGCGTGGGAGGTTGGGCCTGGGGATAATGGGGCCCGGAGGGGGGGGGGTGTCCCAGGCCTCGGGGAGGGGCTATGACATGGGATGAGACGACAACGGCGGGAACGTGCTGATACGTGTCCTCTGCAGGCGCCTGGGGCGGGGTGGGGGGGGCACCGCCAGGGGGAGGCCGGGGAAGAGCCCCCTCTCCGCGCCGGGCGAAGCTGCTGCGCCGCGCGTGCCTTCCTGTTCCGCCTACCGCCCCGCACCGCCGAAGCCCCGGCGCTCGCCCGGCTGCCCCTGGCGCCGCCTGCGTTCCTTGCCCGCCGGATGGACTCCCGCGCCCGGCTGCGCGCCCGGGCCTACCTCCCCTGGCGGCCGCGCTCCCCACGCTGCTCCGCGCTCCTCGCGGCCCAGCCGAGGGCCCGCCCCTTCCCGCGCCCGCCCCCTCCCTGGGGCCGGGTGTGTCCGCCCTGCGGGACCCGACGGGACCGGGACGCGAGGCGTGCGGCCCGGTGGAGTCGCTCACGCCGCTGCGTGCCGTGGTCGCAGAAGCCAGGGCTGGGAACTGACCCAGGCGCCCTTTGACCCACCCTTGGATTTGCCTTTGTCCCCAGCTCCGCGGCTGAGCCTGCTTGTCTCGCCTGGGAAATTGCGATGACCTACCGCCTCCCTCCTGAACGTTTCCCTCAAAACGGACTGCGCAGAAAGAGCCGTTGAACACCCAGGGAAACTGCTTCTCAGCGTGCTGCACTGCTTGCCCAACGTCCCACAGCCAGATGGGGTGAACCTGGAATTCACATCCAGATCTAAAAACCAAAAGACCTGTCCTCTGTTTCTCAGCCTTCAGAATTCACTGCATCGCTTCAGTCTCTGGCCTCTCAGACAAGGTGTCAGCAAGATCCTTCTTTGGGGTCCTCTCAGAAAGAGAGCCTGGAGAGACAAATAATGGGGGAGGCCAGAGGGGAGGTTGACCTAACCCTGCAGAAGGGAAGGGACTAGACTCCCATACCCTCTCCCAATTCACAACCCCATTAGAGAAGACCCCAGTTTGGCCTCATGGTCACCTGGAAATCGAAGCACAGGTAATTGCTAATTCCTAGACCAAGAAGCCCCTCAAAATCCTGGCCCCCACTCCCACACCCCAGCATCTTCTGACAGAGGAACTTCCCCTCCGGATTCCCCGTCCAGGCTGAGCTGGGCTCTGGCTTCAGGGAAGAGGTGGTGCATGACTTTGGACTGACTGTACGTATGACTTTGGGAGGAAGAGCAGTAATACTGGATCCCTCCCCACCGCCCCGACACCACAGGGCTTCCTAGATCAGGCAATGAAAGCGGACTGCTCCCAGGAGTCCACATCAAACCCCTGGTTGCTATGAGGCCCAGACTGGTCCAGACGCACGAACAAGTGTCTTGAAGTCTCACGTCCTCAGACAAGACCCTTGGTGCCCCCAGGACCTCGTGGGACCCAGGAACTAACATGGCTGCTGAAGTTCAGGCCCAGAAAGGCAGAGCCCGCAACAGTGGGACAGGAGACCTGGCAACCCTCCTTTATTCCACTTCTTCACGGTAGCCTCCTAGACAAGGCCAACTCCTTGGCCTCAAGGATTGTTGGATGAAAACATGGAATTTGCTTTTCTGAGTATGTTTTCTCACACATGAAATGAGAATCATAGTGAAACACCCACATCCCAAGGGGGTGTGGGAACCACTCTGGGGATGCAAAGCTCAGGGTCTGGGCACTCTACAAAGCAAGCTATCACTATGTTTATTTTCTTTCTTTTTTTTTTTTTTAAGTTTATATATTTTTTAGTAATCTCTACCCCAACGTGGGCCTCAAACTCACGACCCTGAGATCAACTGAGCCAGACAGGAGCCCCTGTTTATTTACTGCTTATATTTTTTAAAAACAGCTTTATTCACCTGAAACGAATATAACACTGTATATTAACTAACTGGAATTAAAATAAAAACTTAAAAAAAAACAGCTTTATTGAAGTATATAATCCACAGCCCATACAATTCACCCATTTAAAGTGTAAAATTTAATAGTTTTTAGTATCTTCCCGGATACATGCAACCATCACTGCAGTCAATTTGAAACATTTTCGTCACATTCAAAACAAACCCTATGCAGTTAGTACTTGCAGTACATGAGCATGGGATGTTTTTCCATTTATTCAGATCTTTAAAACTTTTTTCAGCAATGTTCTGTAGTTTTCTGACTATAAATCTTGTGCTTCTTTAAATTTATTCCTAAATATTTCATTCTTTCTCATGGTATTGTGAGTGGAATAATTTCTTAATTTCATTTTAGAGTGTTCATTACCAGTGTAGAGAAATATAATTGCTTTTTATATATCAATCCTATATCCTCCAAATTTACTGAACTTGTTTACCAGTTCTAATAGTTATTTTGTAGATTTTTATGTTGTCTATATATAAGATCCTGTCATCTGTGAATATAGTTTTGCTTCTTTCTTTCCAGTTCAGATACTTTTTATTTATTTATCTTGCCTAAATGCCCTGACTAGAACCTCCAGTACAATGTTGAATGGAAGTGACAGCATATATTTTGTCTTGTTCCTGATCTTACCAGGAAAGCATGAATACTTTTTTTGAGCATGATGTTAGCTGTGGGTTTTTCACATATGCCCTTTGCCAGGTTGAGGAAGTTCCCTTCTATTCCTAGTTTGTTGAGTGTTTTTCTCATGCAAGAGTGTTGCACTTTGTCAAGTACTTTTTCTGCATCTATTAGGATGATCATGTGGGTTTGTTTTTTTTTTATATAAGTGTATTATATTGATTTTCAGATGGTTAAACTAACCTTGCATTTTGGGGGATAAATCCTGCATACTTAGGTGCATGATTCTTTTTATATGTTGCTGGGTTTAGGTTTGCTAGCATTTTGTTGAGGACTTTTGCATCCATATTCATAAAAATATTGCTCTGTAGTTTTCTTGTGATGTTTCTGTATGGTTTTGAAATCACAGTAATACTGGCCTCATAGAATGAGTTGGGAAGTGTTCACTCCTATTTTTTGAACGGATTTGTAAAAAATTGGTATTAATTCTTGTTTAAATGTTTGGTAGAATTCAGCAGTAAAGCCAGGCGAGTCTGGGCTTTTTGTTGTGGGTAGTTTTTGGTTTTGGTTTGTTTTTTTTTACTAATTCAATCTCTTCACTTGTAATAGGTCTACTCAGATGTCTATTCTTCTTGAGTCAGTTTTGATAGCATGAGTCTTTCAGAATTTGACTATTTCACCTGTTATCTAATTTATTGAAATACAATTGTTCATAGTATTCTTCCATAATTCTTTTCACTTCCAAAATATAGGTAGTAATGTCCCTTACTTCATTTCTGATTTTAGATTTGTTTTAAGATTTTTTTTAAAGTAATCTCTATACCCAATGTGGGGCTCAAAGTCATGACCCCAAGATCAAGAGTCAACTACCAACTAAGCCAGCCAGGCACCCCTGATTTTAAATGGGTTTTTTTGTTTTGTTTTGTTTTGTTTTAATTTTAGAGAGAGAGAGCATGAGTGGGGAGAGGGACAAAGGAAGAGGGAGAATCCCAAGCAGACTCTGAGCTGAGCGCTGGAGCCGGATGTGGAGCCCGATCCCCTGAGATCATGACCTGAGCTGAACTCAAGAGTCAGATGCTTAACCAACTGAGCCACCCAAGCACCCCTTAAATGTTTGAGGTTTTTTTTTTTAAGATGTTATTTTTAAGTAATCTCTATACCCAACATGGGGCTCAAATTTGCAACCCTGAGATCAAGAGTCACACGCTCTTCCAACTGAGGCAGCCAGGTGCCCCTGATTTTAAACATTTGAGTCTTCTTTTTTCTTGGTCAGTCTAGCTAAAGGTTTGTCACTTTTGTTGGTGTTATCCATGAACCAGCTTTTGGTTTCATTGTTTGCTCTATTATTTAATAGTCTTTATTTCATTAAGTTCTGCTCCAATCTTTTTATTTCTTTCTCTCTGCTTGTTCAGATTCTTTTTTGAGTGTGTTAAGGTGAAAATTTATTACTTTGAGACCTATTAATTTATTGTTTTGAGACCTTTTTTCTTAATTTTATTTATATCTATAAATTTATATCTATATATATTTATATATCTATATCTATAAATAAATATATAAATTATATATTTATATCTATAAATTTTCCTCTAAGTACTGCTTTAGGAAATTTGTAAGTTACACATTTATAAAATTTCCTCTAAGCACATGGGATGTACAGCTGCATCCCATGAGCTTTGATATGTTGTATCTTCATTTTCATTCATCTCAAAGTGTTTTCTAATTTCTCTTTTGATCTCTTTCTTGACACATTAGTTATGTAGGAGTGTGTCATTTAATTTCTGCCTGTTTGTGAGTTTCTCAAATTTCTTCCTGTTACTGATTTCTAGGTTCACTTCATTGTGGTCAGAGAACACTGTTGTATTCTATCCTTTTAAATTTATTGAGCTTTGTCTTATGGCCCACCATACTCCAATCCTAGAGAATGTTCCATGAGCACCTGAGAAAAATGTATATTCTGCCGTTGTTGGATCAAATGTTCTATATAGATGTCTATTAGGTCTAGTTGGCTTACAATGTTTTCTTTTCATTCTTTTTATTTTTTTAAGATTTTATTTATTTTATTTGACAGAGAGACAGTGAGAGAGGGAACACAAGCAGGGGGAGTGGGAGAGGAAGAAGCAGGTTCCCTGCTGAGTAGGGAGCCTGACTCGGGGCTCAATCCCAGGACCCTGGGATCATGACCTGAGCCAAAGGCAGACACTTAACAACTGAGCCACCCAGGCGCCCCTACAATG